CGCTCGGCCTCGGCCCGGGACGCCAACAGACCAGACCTAGACAAGGGAGCTATCTAAGTAGTCAAGATCAAGGGCCCACGATTGAACCCCTGCCATACGTCTGGCACAGTTGTTCTAGCCACCCTATTTGTAACCTACTTTGTATAGCAACCCTAGGGATAATGATGCGGTTGGACGCTGCTAGTGAACAACCCAATCTTCGTGGGCCCAGATCGTTGGACTCTGGACCAACGGCCGGGAACCCTATGTTGTAATTCGCATATAAACCCCCTTCCAACGGAAGGAGGACGGACGTTCTATCAAGTACAATAATACTCACAATTTACTTGACCCCAAAACTTGTGCACTCTCGACTCGGTTCGATACTCTTCCGCTTAGTCTCCTAGGCCCCCGAGTTCCTTAACCCGAGTAATAAAATTTAGAAATAATTAATACTTCTTGACTTCCCATATCTCCTAAGTATTTTCTTAGAGTTTCAAGATAAACTCAGACGTCACAACACTCTGTCCTAGAGCAGTAGAGCTAGTCTCTAGAGATGTCCCTAGTGAATCAGTGATTGAGCGAGCGAAGTGCAACCTTAACAAGCAATCTCGACCATTGCGAAAAGAGTTGATGGACTATTTGGTAACCCTGGTACAACATCGCAAACTACAATCTTGACCCAATATATTAAGGCTAGAGACTGGACCGGATTGGACTACCGACCAGACTAGATTGGACTATTGGTCTTATTTGGTCTTTGATTTTGATAAGAAGACCGGACTAGTTATGTAACACCCTAATCCGTCCAAGTCTGCAGCCCCATTCGGACTAAAGTATTTAACTTGGTAATCGTAAAATTTAAAACTTTTCAAACACACTTTATTAATCTCAATAACATTTTTCATAACATATATAGTACGGAGTATTTAACAATATTGCGGAAGCAAATTTAATATTGACATATCATAAAACTTGTCACATCCATCCCGACAATCTCGCCCCATCTGCCGCCAGGATCACATTAATCTTTCTGTTTACCTGCGTGTAGCAAATAAAACACACTACACGCTCAGCGGTGAAGCTGAGTAAGCATATCTAAAGCGTCGAACATCCACATAAATTGAATCTCAATTCATAATCAATCATTTGATATCATGCACATAATATTCAGTTTCAATATTCATTATTCAATATTCATCATTCAATATTCAACATTCAACATTTAATATTCAACATTCATATTCAACAATATCCTTAAACAATTTTAGTCTAAGGCCAATTCATTTGATGTTTACCAACTCTTAAACGAATTCTAGTTTAAGATAGTTAAACTATATTCGAGCTTAAGGTACTTCTAACCAACTCTTAAACTAATTCTAGTTTAAGGTACTTCTAACCAACTCTTAAGCTAATTCTAGTTTAAGGTACTTCTAACCAACGCTTAAGCTAGGTCCTTAGTTTAAGGTACATATTTCTGATTGATTTACCAACTCTTAAACTAGCCTTCGCTTAAGGTACAAATCCAGAAAACCGAACAGTAGAATACTAACTGTCAGGTCGGGTGGTATCCCCAAACGAGTTCCTCTAGTTTGGTTTATGGATCCCGTACGTACGTTTTAACCCCAGCCACCGAGCATCATACCCGCAAGGCCTATTTCTAACTTATCTGAGAGGTCTTCTAGATAGTATTAGAAACCAACATCAATATGGATATATCTTAGAGTTCTTCTAGATATCCTTAACAACATTATTCATCAATTCATAGTCTTAGTTCAACAATCATTTCATCCAGAATATTCATCATCATTAATCCATAATATTCATCAAAATGAACAATCAATCAATCATCATAATAACTAATAACAATCAGCGGCCTAGCATTGAGTGTTAACACCCTAGCTTACCGTCATGCATCACGTAAGATCCTTTTTAGTTGTTAAAACACCATCTTTATTCCAAGAAATCATCCTTTTATTAATCATAATGGTTTGGTATCAAAATATAGGATTCCATAACTCAAAAATCATGTTTTCTGAATAACAATTGATTAATATATGATAGAAAAATCATTTAGTAGTTACTAGTTTCATTTTCTTCAGCGGAATAGGCTGACAGTCGATTGTCACCTTCTGACAATCGACTGTCTGATGTTCCGAATGGGCTGATAATCGATTATCACACTCTGATAATCGATTATCAAACTTCAGAGAGGGCTGACAGTCGATTGTCACATTCTGACAGTTGACTGTTGCTCAGCTCTGTTCCAAAAATCTGCAGAAGAAGCTATAGTCGATTTTTAAGTTGATAGTTGACTATTCATCGTCTTCTACCTCGAGTCAACTTGCGGAAATGTCATTTTTACTCTCCAAACTTCAATTAAAGTATATAAAAATGTTCTCCAAGGTTCATTGATCGTTTTGGCATCATTAATTCATAGTTTTAACATTAAAATCATGGTTTGTGATTCTTAACGACCTATATGAACATTCTAGTCATTAGATATATCTACGGGCTTACCTCGAAGCTTAATGGAGGTTTTGGAAATTTTCCGGTGAAACTTCCGGCAACGATAACTCTCAACTCCAGCGACTTCACACCAAATTGACAACACCACTGCGTTCTCCTCACTCAGAGCAACATAATAGGAAGAAATATTTTGAGAAGTGATGAAGAAATGGGAGAGGAGTGTCTCCCTTATATTGTGAGAAGGAAGAGGAAATGGCCAAGGTTGTCCAAATCCTCCTACGGCGATTCTACTTAGTGCGCTGGGAGGCGCAGCCTCCACAGTGTCCCTGATTGGGACCAATTTTGGTTCCAGTCGGGGTACACTTTTTGGTCCAACTTTCTCCGATTTGAATTATGTCTGTATCGTCGCGATCAGACAGTCGAGCTCTATTCAACTATGAAATTTTATATTTATTTGTAATACTTTTTCTGACATCATATTTTTGGATGTTTGACTTTGACAGAGTCAAAATTGGTTTAGTTGACCTTTATCATAAAAGGTTCTCAATTTAATTTATTCTCATGGTTTATTTCAAGAATTCATTTTAAGTTCACTTAATAAACAAATTTTCCATTTATTCTTAATTTGGGTCTGTATTCAGGTTCCCAATCAAGATCACACAATAAGTCAACATGTTGGATTTATCTCTATGAGATTTATCACAATTATGTTTATTGGATATCAATATATATTTTATTTCGGCCCAAAGCTCAATAAAAATTTATTTTAATCAAAACAAATTTGATTAATTTGAATAATTATCTATTAATAATTCTAGGGTATGTTTTGAGGCGTTACAAGTTAGGACCGGGTTTTTAAAAAGACTAGTCCGGTCTAGTCCTTTACTGTAGCAGTCTTTTTCAAAGACCGGTCTAGTCTGACCACATCGGTCCTTTTGCTCATCTCTAGGGGTTGCTGGACTGTGCGAGGGGGCTGGGGCTGCGAGACNNCGAGTTGATGTACTTAAGAGAGGCGTGTTCAACACATATGAGCCTTTTATATTAACGATGCAGGAGTCTCACGTTCCATATATTGAATACCCATCCACAAAACGGACTTTTGGGAACTAGTTAGCTGTTTGTAGTGTGAAGCCAAAGGGATGGATTGAGAAAGAAGTAATTGCGGACTCCACTTTGACAATGAAGCTTTTCAAGAGCGCCAAAGTAATCAGACAATACTTGAAGACGTGAGCCAATAAGCAACGATGAAGATCAAGAGACTCAATACGTTGACTTAGATGACAGTGAAGATGAGTGTGATGATTTTGATGAAGTAGAACTCAGTACTAAAGACGAGTGTGATGATTTTGATGATGAGTGCGAAGATGAGTGCGATGATTTTGAGGATGACTAAACGTAATTAATGAGTATGAAAATTAATAGTACATTTTATAAATTATATGAAGTAATAAGATGTTAAAATAATTCTTTTAATTATGAGTGATTTTAATTCTATTTTAAGCATGTGTTGCAGATGGCAGGTAAAGGTAAAGGGAAAGCTGACGACAATTCTAAGTCGTGAAATAAGTGGAGCAGACTTTGGCGGTTGAAGCTTACGAGCGGGTCCTCATCTAGCCAGAATAGATCAGAGGAACATCACACTACTCCAAACACCCCATCTTCTGAGCAGAATGATAGCATTCACTCTCTTGGTTATAGTGCAGGTCCACACATGTTCCACCCACACTCAAGATGAGGATGGTATGTATTTCTGTTATAGAGGATGAAGATGGATATATTTGAATCACAAAACTTTTTTATATTTATTTATATTCATACAGATTCTAGGACCATTGATGAAATGGAAGAGGACCAGCCTCATGATGAGAGCGAGGAGCGTGATTACCAGGCTGACAATCACCATCGATATGAGGTTTTCATGGACGCTCATAATGGGTATTAGTTGATTTTTCATTTATTCATGTTTAATTATAACATCATTTTGAGTATTTTTTGTATAAATAACATACATTTTTTTAAATGCAGGTTGGTAATGCATATAATGCCTAAGGGAGCCATTAGGATGATTGCAAAGTTGTTCGAGAGAAAGGTTGATCATAATCGCTTCAGGTGGGCAAATGTGGGTGAGCCTTATAAAGAGTTTTACTGGAGAGAGTTTTAGGTATATTTAAGTAATTTATTAAATCTTTTTGTAGCATGTTTGAAGGTGTGTGATAAAAAAAATCTTAAAATAAAATTTTGTTGTTATAATGATATATATGCAGAAAAATGTTTTTTGGCACCCTGCAATAGATAATAATGTCATGAAGGGAGCTTTCTTCCGTAAAGCCTCATATCATTATGATGAATTTGTTGGGAATATAAAAAATCCTAAAAGACTCAAAGGACAAGGAAGGGAAATAAGAGGTGACATGAAACATTATTTTATTAAATGAAAAACAAAAATAAGAAAACAAATTAAATAAAGTTTAATATAATATAGTTTGTACTGTTAGAGATTAGCGCTAGCATTTTGAAAAAACTATCTGCAAATAGTTTTTTCACAATTAATCTGCACCAGTAAAATTTTATTCAAAACGCCAACGCTTGTCAAAAACACTATTTCCAAACAGGCCCATTGTGTTTCAGCATTATGCTAGATAGTTGTATGTGTTTTAGATGATGGGATATGACTTCATGACTCTCTTTTCATTATGGATTTAACCATAGTACTAAAAACACTTCAGAAGATAAAACTCATTAAACTTCCTTTTCAAAATAATCAATTTTAAAAAAAATTAAACAAACCCAAACACCCTCTTCAAAGAAAACAAAAAATTGAATGCTACCATCCAAAACAACAAAACTACCTCGGAGAAGATGCTTAGATCTTACGAGCAGATGCGTTGCAAGATTTAGTAATGGCCTCGGTGTTGTTGGCCAATTCAGCAGCGGCGCCGATATATGTATGTGGTGTTAGGTTCAAAAGAGCTGTCTTCGCAATGTGTGGTACTTCCAGACCTTCAATGAACTCTCTAATGCTTTCTTTTGTCACTGTTCTCCCCCTGGTTAGCTCTTTCAGTTTTTCATAAGGCCCGGGGACGCCATATCTTCGCATCACCTGTGACAAGCCAAATGCAATGACCGATCAAAATGTTAATGTGGAAATCTAAATTGATATATTGGAAGGACTTAAGGGAACGCAAAACCAATGAAGACTAGATGTATGTAGTGTGGCGGTAAGGGAGTGTGCATAGAAAAGCCCGTCTAAAATTTTTGTTTCAGAATATTATTGTATCTCAATAACGAGAACCCGATGCTCATTGATACTCGGTAGTAAGGTACTTGGTTAAATTTAGAAATTAGGCTTTGTTCATCTTTACTCCTACCGTCCCATAAACAGAGTTCTTTTCACAAAGATACAGTTTTTTAGTAAGGTACAACTATTGGAGATCATTAATTATAGCTATATTTCTTTAAATTAAATTGTAGGTTTAACAATCAAATAATGAAGAAACATGAGATATAATTCAAACTGCCCTTTTTGGGATAAAAATAGGTTTTCCAATAAGACTTTTTTTAGACAGGGAGTATAACTGTATAACAATATAGCACAAAATGAAGTGCTTAGATTTGTAAAGCAATAATAAAGGGGAAAAAATGAGTTTCCGGATTCTAAACAAGAAAAAACTCTTAGTGAAATATCGCGGGCAAAGCACTTGTATATTACAATGACTAAGACAAATATATTAAAGGAAGAGAGCAAGATCCATACAGTTTGTATAGGTTCTGCAAGAACCTCCCATGCTTGATTCAAGTCTTCTGCCAAGGCAGCTTCATTGACCTGTAATAGACCAAACCGTTGATTTGGAAACAAAACTTTAGATGGGTGAAAATCAAACTACTGATAATGAAAAATCATAACTATGGTACATTTTCTTGACATTGCCAGCACTAACAAAGTACAATGCAAAATAATTATGGTACATTTTCCACACTACTTGTCAGTGTTTATCATGGCGGGAAACAGTCGCACTACCTCATGGGGTAGACATAAAGACTACGTACATCTCCTATCCACCCACCAACGCTAGATGCTACTCTAACACTATGTTTGGTTCGTGGAATTTGAAAGAAAATGAAAAAAGAAAGGAGTTGACTCTCATCTTCCTCGCCAAAACGGAAGGAAAACATTCTGCTAAACCTTTCCAGTACTGTGACATGTGGGTACATAATGATCAGTTTGAGGGCATTGTGAGAAACATATGGAGTAAGGAAACTGAAGGGAATAAGATGTATCAACTGGTCAGAAAGTTGAACATGCTAAAACAACCCCTCAAACAGTTACACAGGAGAGAATTTCAACACATCTCCAAAAGATGTGACACGTTGAGAGAGGAACATATAACAAAGAAAAGGAAATTGGCAGAGAGTTTAGATCCTGTGCTAAAGCCCTCTACTTATTACACAAACAACTTATTAAACATAAGTGGGTGGTGGAAGGGGATCAAAACACAAAGTTTTATCATACTTGGGTAAAGAAGAAAAGAATCCAAAGTTTTATTACTAAGCTACATGATGGAGAAGGTAAAGAAGCCTGCAATACTAAAGAGGTCAGCGACATGATGGTGAAATATTTCAATAGGCTCCTGGGAGACAACATCCAGGGCAAGGATATTAAAGAGGACATTGTGAGAAATGGGCATACACTTACCTTTGAACAACAGATTAACCTGATTAAACCGTTTGATCCAGGTTTAGTTAAGAAGATGATGTTTAGCATCCCGAACCACAAAAGTCCGGGCCCAGATGGCTACACCAGTGGGTTCTTTAAGAGTTGCTGGGGAACAGTAGGTGAACTTGTGACTGAGGCTATCATGGAATTTTTTGAGAAAGGGGAGACCCTCAAACAAGTAAATGCAACTTGCATCACCCTGATTCCCAAAAACAATGAACCAAACACACCTAATGACTTTCGACCTATTGCTTGTTGCAATGTAATCTACAAAGTCATCTCCAAAATGATTGCCAGTAGATTGAAGGAAGTCCTGCCTATGATTGTATCAGGAAACCAAACAGCGTTTGTTGAAGGAAGAGAATTATTGCATAATGTGCTCATGTGTCAAGAGATTGCTAAAGGATATAACAGAAAAGGGAACTCTCCGAGATGTATGATGAAACTAGACCTTAGGAAAGCATATGACTCTGTGTCATGGCAGTTCATGGTGCAGCTTATGAGAGGGATGAAATTTCCGGAAAAGTTTATTAAATAGATATCCTTTTGTATCACCACTCCTTCCTTTTCTATCAAAATTAATGGCCAGGTGGATGGTTTCTTCAGAGGGGGTAAAGGTCTGAGACAGGGAGATCCCATCTCTCCTCTCCTCTTCGTACTGGCCATGGAGTACTTGACAAGAACCCTACATTACCTTGCGGACAGGAGTTTCAAGTACCATCCCAGATGTAAAGATATGAAGCTTATTAACCTCAACTTTGCTGATGACCTAATAGTGGTCAGTAAAGCTGATCATGCCTCAATCTCTTGTGTGATGGAGGGTCTGGCCCACCTGTATGAAACTGCAGGGCTCCAGCTGAATCCAAACAAATCCCAGGTATATTTTGGAGGGACTGATCAACAGTTGCAGCAAGAGCTCCTTGCCCTTACAGGTATGAGTAAAGGTATCTTACCTTTTACTTATTTGGGGGTTACTGTAAGTACAGCTAGACTTAAGAAGATTGATTGCAAAATCTTGCTAGAGAAAATGACTACTAGAATTACAACTTGGAGCTCGAGACACTTGTCCTATGCAGGGAGGATTAAGTTAATTAACTCTGTTTTGTTTGGCATCTATAACTTTTGGGCTAGAATTTTTGTCATTCCTGAAGCCGTCATTCATGATCTAAACGGCATCTGTAGAAATTTCTTATGGACAGGAAAAGCGGAGTACACCAAAGCTCCCCCAATTAGCTGGAATGAAACTTGTCTACCTTTGAACAAAGGGGGTGCAGGTATAAAGAATCTGGGGATGTGGAATAAAGCATGCATTATGAAACTGATCTGGGACATAGCTAACAAAAAAGACCTTTTGTGGGTCCGGTGGGTCCACACAAAGTACATTAAGGATGGTAACATATGGACCTACGCACCAAAAAAGGATTGCCCTTATTATTGGAGAATGATGAATGAGGTGAAAGAAGACTTTAAGCACTATAATATTCCAGGAGAGTATACCGTAAGCAAGGGATATGATTGGCTGCTGAAGGATACACCGAGAAATGAGTGGTACAAATGGGTTTGGAGCAAAGCTTCACACCCGAAACATCAAATGATTCTTTGGCTCATCAAACATAAAAGGCTGAAGATTAGAAGCAGGCTAAGGAGATATCTGGAAGTCCAAGAAGAATGTGGGAATTGTGGAGAAAAAGAAGAGACATTTGAGCATTTGTTTTGGGAGTGCACTATTGCAAAGGAGATTAGAGAGGAAATCTTCATGAGGATGGGGATAAAATGCAAAGCCACTTCCCTCGAGCACATGGAGACAGAACTGGGGAACATTAAGACAAAGAGGAGGAAACTAATGCAGGGTGGGCGGCAGTATGCTATACCATCTGGAAAAAGAGGAATGATGTTCTTCACAATAAGAATAAAGATAAAGAAGGTTACCTTAAGAATGTTTTATTTTATCTTAGAATTCTCACTTATAAAAAAGTTGGATGTTGGTAGAGAATAGTTACCTGATGTGTAAAATTCTTTGACTGGTTTGTTTGTGAATGATAAAAATGTGCATTTTTGTTCAAAAAAAAAACAATTCTGTTGGAAAGTGGAATGGTGTTTTTACCTGAAGCTTTGCAATTCCCCGTAATGCATTTCTATATGCAAGAAGTGAATGCCCCATCCCTACTCCCATATTTCTCAGAGCCGTAGAATCTGTCAAATCCCTCTGCGCATCAAAATATTCAGAAAGTGCAATTATATAAGGAACAAAAGAGAAACCTGAGTGGCTAAGTGAACCAAAGAAACAAGTAAAGAGCTCGACAAATAGATCACGTGTCCTTTTTAAAATAGGTGAAATGGTTTAAGTTAATGAAATAGTGTATATCAAATTATTTCAAACACTTTCGAAAAATTGTCGACAAATAGATCACGTGTCTTTTTAAAATAGGTGAAATGGTTTAAGTTAATGAAATAGTGTATATCAAATTATTTCAAACACTTTCAAAAAAAATTGGTATGACTTCTCCATCCCCTCCTCAACTTCTCATTGAGGTGTCATCTTTGGTTCCTTAACAAATAGTGCTCCCGGGTTACTTCCCCTTTCAATATTTTTTTTGTCATTTTTCAACTTTCATATCACATCTATTTCTGAGAATTGAGATAATTTATCCACACACAAAAAATTTGTGGGCTCGTAGTATTCATGCCCAACAAATTATTATGCCACATCATAAAGACTTTTATTATACCACAAAAAGCGGACAAGTATAGTGTACCTGCCACCGCGAAATAGGTAGCTTTGTGCTAAGATGTGAAAGGTTTCCATTAGCAACTCCTAGATTTCCTTCGCTGTTCTCAAAATCAATGGGATTCACTTTGTGAGGCATTGTTGAAGATCCAATTTCGCCAGCTTTAGTTATCTGCTCAAACCATGAAATGAGTATTACTCCGTACTAGGGTTGTAAACGAACCGAATCGAATCGAATATTCATGAATAATATTTGTATTCGCTAAGATAAGGTGATATTCGAATTTGAATTCGGTTTGAATATTTTTTGAGATTCAAATTCGGTTCGTTTTAACTACTATATATATTCGGTTCATTTAAAAATTTGATTTGTTTAAAATTATTCGACTCATTTATGTTTTAAAATATTTAATAACCATTTAAACTATTCATTAGTTATTACAAATAATTATACTCATATGTGTGTGTGTGTGTGTGTGTCTATATACATATATTCGTATATACATACATATATGTGTGTGTGTCTATATATATATAATTTGTATACTTAAATTTATATTCCGAATATATTCGTCAAACTCGCGAATCGAATATCCTTGATTCGTATTTGTATTCGTATTCGATGAGGATTCGAATATTCATTCAGATTCGGATGCAGATTCGAATTTCAAAAAATCAAATACAAATCACCTAATTCGAATACGAATCACGAATCAAACAAAAAATTCGATTCATTTACAACCCTACTCCGTACTTCTTTATATTGTTCAAGACAAATACATAATGCATTCCCAGCAACTCCCTCCCAAAAAGAATTGAGTAGAATACGGGACCAAAGGAAGTGGTACGACAACATCAAATTGAATGAAGGACAAACCTGTTTGAAGAATCGCAAGGAAATGTATCCCCAAACATCTCGATTATAATCAATTAAAATGTTGTTGAATTGGATAATTGAATGAAACAGTTTGGCCATATAGTCATGGGGTTCAATCTGCATCATTGAAAAGCCATACAATTAAACTGTCCCAAGGTCAACAAATACTGGACAACATAAATTCACCTATAGTCACATCATTTGAGAAGCCATCAATAATGAGTAGAGAGAGTAAGCCAAGGATCAAGCACATAATATAATATAAATGTTTCAAAAGACGTAATGAATAGAACAGAATAAAGTCAAATAACGAACTGCAATGGTAAATGGTAAATAGAAAGCATAAAGCCCATGAATGACAAAACCCATTGAGTGGTAATATAAAATAGTCAAACCCCTCACCCTTGCTTCTGCATGTACGATGTTTCAGTAACGCAAACCACTACACCTATTCCATCACTAGGAAACATACCATTATCTCAAGATTCAATTATAATTGATAAATGATATATAAAAAGATCACTAGGCATAATCATATTGGTTTAACATTTTCATATGTGACATGATATGAAACAACAACAAACCCTAAGTATTTCACAAGTGGGGTCTTGGGAGGGTAAGATGTACGCAAACCTTAGTACTACCCATAAGGGTAGAGAAAATGCAGTTCAAAAGAAAAAAAAATCAAAGAGGAATGACAAGAAGATAGGCAAATAAATAAAAGCAAGCACTATAAATGGGGCATCATAACCAAGTCCACATAAGATCAAACATCCATGCAAGCCCTAGACCCACTAAACACATACAGTGTAGTTTGGTGCTAGTAATCCATGTTATCGGCACGTGATACATATAAAGAGGAAGAATTCCGGCCTAGGGTTTCTAGAACAAAACTTACGCATGCAAGAACAAGGAGAGAGCCAATCGGCTCAAAGAATGAAGAAAGAAAGAATTTTGAATTCATTATTTCATAATAAGCATAATAGATGATAATTGCCTTATTATATAGAGGATAGAATTAAGACTAATAAGAAACTACTATTAATTATAATAGTGAACTATTACTACCATTAATAATAATAATCTTACCAATAATAATAATATTATTATTAGTGACATTTAATAATAATAAATATTAATAATAATTCTAAGATAATATTGACCATATCACAAAATGTCGGAGCCTCAAAGAGATTTACTTCCCTTCCATCGTAATCCTTGATGCCAAAATTTCCAAAGGGGATATTTTCATAAAACATACCTGAGTGACATACGGATTGAAGCTTAAGCCAAGAGATGCTACGAAGTCTTCTGCCACTTGTGGCCAGTTTACATCAGGATATGCAACTAGATGTGCATTATAGTTTCCAACTGCACCAGCAAACTTCCCTCTCATCTCAATTTGTGAAATCTCCTGCCTCTTTGTAAATAACCGATATGAAAAAATAGCCATTTCCTTGCCTAGCGTTGTTGGTGAAGCTGGCTACAACATACTAGATTAGAATTTCTTTCAAGATAAGGTAACATTGAATCTGTTTAAAATAATTAGAATCTTATAATGTACAAATCAACAAATTTTCAGCACTATGAAAAGAAGGCCACACAAGCATTTACCTGCCCATGGGTACGAGAAAGCATTGGGACATGAGCAGTCTGTGTGGCTATGTTAGTGATTGCTGTGATCAGCTCATCCATGACAGGCAATATAACAATGTTTATAGCTTCTTTTAGCATTAACGCATGTGCTAGATTGTTGATGTCCTCGGAAGTGCATGCAAAATGGAAAAACTCAAGCACCTAGACAAAAATAAATACAAGTTTTTTTTAAAAAAATCAGCTCACATGGAAATTAATTTAAATATATACAGAATTATGCAAATGTTTTTTTATCCATTCATACTCCATCCAAAGACACAAAGCTTGAGTCAGGTTTGTGAAGATAACCCGATCTTTGATTAACAAATTTGTATACCTTGTTTAGTTCATTTATATTTCAGGGTCACGAAGCATTGTTTTACTAAAGCATTCTTTGTACAAGCATGCACATAAAAACATTTCTACAACTGAAATACTGAATATACCTTTGAAATTTCTTCATGTGATTGGCATCTTTGTTTCAGAAAGTACTCCACTGCTTTAACATCATGGTTAGTCACTTTTTCAATTTCCTTCACTTCCATGGCATCGTCCAAGCTAAACCCATCAATCAAGCCATGCAGAAATGACTTTGCTCCAGAAGAGAAATTAGGAACTTCAGGGATTTCTGGAACTTCTGAAAGCTTTAACAACCACTTAACCTGGAACAAAAAAATATGTGTTTCATTGACTATGAGAAGACAAAAGTCACAGCAAGAGTTGAAGTTTATAAAGCAAATACTTGATGAAATGGAGTAATGGACATAAATTAAAGTTTAAACCAAAATTCCAAAAATTGAACAACAAATGTGAGTGCACTGGGCAGAAAGTCTTATAAAAAAGGTGAGAGGGTAACCCATTCTGTATTTTGGTAATTGGTATCCACCTACTAATACTTTGAAGTATAATGCCCCACCCTTTTTATATATTTTTAGTAGATTAATATTAAGAAAAAGTAGTAACTACAAATATTACACAATACTTGCAAAAACACCCTCACAGACCTTACTTTTTGTGGGACTTAATTGGGCCTGCTGTTGTACTTGCAAAAACCACAAAAAACATAAATACAATCACATAGCAAGGCTTATACCATCAACAAAAACAGAGAGTCACCGAATGATATCATTATTTCATATACATCCATTTCAACAAAAAATGCATGAAACACACCATGAAAAGCAATTCAAAGAAAGTGGAACACCTCAACCAAAACTCGAAAGCGAATGAGGCCGTACTCGCTCATGAACGGAGCCAGGTCCTTAACTTTGTCCCTATACCGGCCATCCAACGGGCATAGAGTTGTTAAACTTGATAGTGCCAGATCAAAAGAATTATCAGCAGACATTGTTTTGACCTGTTTAATAAAAAAGAAACATAAATCAAGTGCTGATAACGGATAGCCTCAGCAAATGGAGCAAGATGATAACATTCCAATTTATGGGCCTATTTTAGATCGACATTTCAGCTGCAGGCCACACTTGAACGAATAACTAAAATGGCGTCATTCATCAATCTTATGCTCCCGCTTTGGTGGAAAATTGTTACACATTTTTATCTTTGTTTATACCAAAATAAAATTCAACATGCCTTCAAATGAAAGATTGAAAGAAGTGGGTGTTACTTATTAATCCGTATTTCTCTATCCGTGAAATCTAAACATTCTAAATACAATTTCAATTCAGTTCAAGTGCAAGGGCAGACCTAGGGGGGTCCAGTGGGGTCACTTGACCCCACTAATTTTTTTTACTTAGTATACTATATAGTAGTGCTCTGTAATTTGTGTATCTTAACAGTTAACAATGAGTATTTTTTTAGCAAAATTTGTTCAATTTGATGTTTTAATGCTAATAGGTAGTTATAACACTATGTGTTATCACTATGGTTCTTTTGTAGTGCTCCGTAATTTGTGTGTATCTTAACAGTGAGTATTTTTTTAGCAAAATTTGTTCAATTTGATGTTTTAATGCCAATACGTTGTTATAATACTATGTGTTGAAACTACGGTTCTTTTGACAACAACTAATAATTTCATTATATGACAACAAGAGCCACGTTGCTCCATTCAAAAAAGTGATGGTTCTTATCCCCTAACCCCTCATGCCCCCCTGCACACCACCCCAACACCCCTTTGCCCCCCTCCCCAAAATGCCAATTGGCCGATCGGTGTTTTGGGGAGGGGGCAGGGGGGTTAAGACATAGTAACCATTTATTTTTCAAATGGGACACAGTAGCCCTTTATTCATATTATGACAACAATAATTGTTGTCAAAAGACGGGAGCCGATGTGTTAATTAAACATTGTTTTCATACATTACCGAGTTGTTATTTACACTAGCGCAATTTTTTTATTTTGTACTTTTCATTTTTTATTAAACTACGGAGTAAAAAAGTACCAACCTATTAGAAATTATGTGTCCATCAAGTAGGAAAAGTGAACCCACTCCCCGAACATCCTGGGTCCGATGTTCAAGTGTGGATGCTTATTCTTGGACGGATAGGACGGAGTCAAGGAGGGAATTTTTCTTAAACATTGAAGTGGTAATGATAACAGAAAAATTCAGAGCATGATGAGATTTAAAAAAAAGATGCTACCTTTTCGACTGTTCCAAATGATCTGTTCTTGAAATGCATTTCAGCAGTTGCCCTGCAGCGCATAGACATATGGGCAGTACTCGTACTAGATAAACACGAACGGCGGTAGCCAGTATTCTGGCAATTAATGGGTTGGCAGAGAAAAAACGATGTTTGGTTGAAGTTAGATTTAAGGCAAGCTCCTAACTTCATCTCCATTTGCTACGAAACAATTGATCAGGTCAGGAGGAACTAAGAAGTTGAAGCAGAGACGACCGCCGGCGATGGAATTTTGATTCTAAAATTTATTGTTCCAACAATCCAACATCAATTTTTTTATTCTAAGCCCAATTGTTTGAAAGAGAGTATATAAAAAGCACAATTAAGAAGAAAGAGAACCTCTTGCCGGAAAGTTGCCGCCTGGCGATGGAATGGCGCAGCCGAGTGGAGGCTGTGAAGCCCGGAAAGTCTTGCGGAAGAAGAGCTGGTGGCTTGTCAAAATCTCTAGGTTTCTGGACAGGATTTTATACTCAATGGATTTTTTTTTTTGAAATATGGATTTTTATTTATGATAAGAACATAAAAATTTTCTGACTTTCCTTTAAAATTTTGAATACAAATTACGGACAAAAATTATGATATAAATTTAATATCAATAAGTTAAATTTGAAACATAATTTTGAAATATTACATTTTTATATTATATATCTATTTTTAAATAAAAATATTGATAATCAAAGTATTGCATTAAAGACTATGAAAAGTCTTCAACTTCACTCTCAAAATCCATAAAATATTTAATATAATTAGATTTGTGCGTGTATTTTAAAAATCTAATTGAATATCTTCTCTAGAAAGACGTTGAATCAATGGAAATCTTAGATTCTGTTGTGGGAGATGTGTTTTTCTTTATTGATAATAGCTCATTTATATAGGGAAGACCTTCGTAAGGTTTTTTACAAGAGAAGGCCCACGGGCCAGTACAACTGTATTACACAATATAAAGTACGACCCGGTTCCTCGTAAGTATAATTGACTTTAAAGTTAAAAGTTTTGACTTTATACTTACGAGGTGCAATTGACGTAGGTGGGGTGATTAGTTTAGGTCGGGACTTGGCGGGGGGTTTACCGGGGGGATTAGAGGGGGTAGAAATCATCAATTTTATGAACAGAGCTCCGTAGGGGGGCAGTGGCTTCCGTGGCCACTGGAATCCAGTGACCATGGAACTGAGCCGTATAAAGTAAATTCTATCTACACAACAACACATTAATTTACAAATTCCTTCAACACTCCCCCTTGTGCTGAGTTGTAGGTAGAATTGCAGAATCTTGATCTCTTGTCAAAATCTCGTCAAGTGTCAAAACCTTGTGAATAAAAATCTTGAACGAAGAAAAGAGTACTGATCATTACTTCGATCGCTATGTTCATGCATATTGTTACCTCATTAAAAACCTTACCAAGTAACAAAACCCAATGGGAAAAATAAATCTTGGTTTAAGGAAAAGAGTGTAACATAAAATAAAAACTAGACCTTTGAATATTCAAATCTCCCCCTAAAGTGTACATGATCAAGGAAGATCTGAAAGTCTATGCATCCCAATGTTTTAACATGTTTCTCAAATGTGGCTTTAGGTAATGATTTGGTGAATAAATCTGCCACATTCTCCTCAGATCTTATTTGATTTACTTGGATCTTGAGGAGAGTTTGTCGTTGTTGATTATAGAAAAATTTGGGAGAAATATGTTTGGTGTTATCACCTTTGATAAATCCAAGTTTCATTTGCTCGATGCAAGCAGCATTATCCTCGTAAATGCATATGGGTTCTTCAGTGGTTGGTCTCAAACCACTAGCCCCGCGAATGTGTGTAATGATAGTTCTTAACCATATACACTCGCGAACCGCCTCATGTAGAGCTATTATCTCTGAGTGGTTTGATGAGGTAGCTACTAGAGTTTGCTTGGTTGACCTCCACGATATTGCAGTGTTACCAACTGTGAATACATAACCAGTTTGGGAACGACCCTTGTGTGGATCAGATAAATATCCTGCATCAGCATACCCAATTAGTACATCATTTGGTGTTTCTAGATTTGAGGATGAACTCCCTTCTTCAACCGTTTTCTTAGAATTCACAGCTTCCTTTGTCCTTTTGTATGAAAAGAACAGTCCCATATCATTGGTTCCCTTTAAATACTTCAAAATATTTTTGATACTGTTCCAGTGACGTTGCGTTGGCGCAGAGCTAAATCTAGCTAACAAGTTCACTGAGAATGCTATATCCGGCCGAGTACACTGAGCTAGGTACAATAATGCACATATGGCACTTAAGTATGGAATTTCAGCTCCTAATACCTCTTCATCCTCTGGACGAAATGGATCTTTTTTAGGATCTAAACTTTGGCCGACCATGGGAGTGCTAGCAGTATGCGCTTTGTCCATGTTAAATCGCCTGAGTACCTTTTGGACGTACGCAGACTGGTGGATTAATATCCCACCAACTCGATGTCTAGTTCAAGGCCTAAACAAAATCGAGTTTTCCCAAGGTTCTTTATCTCAAATTCAGATTTCAAATAATTTGCGATTTCTCTTATTTCATCAAGAGTGCCTATTATGTTCATATCGTCAACATAGACAGCTACAATTGCAAATCCAGAACTTGCTTTCTTTATAAATACGTAGGGACATATTTCATCGTTTTTATATCCCTCTTTAATTAAGTGAAAGGGCCTATTGTTTGGAGCTTGAACTCTTAACTTCCAGTTTCTCCCAGTTTCTTCCAGCTTCTTCCAGTTCCTTCCAATTTCTTCCAGTTTTTCCAGTTTCTTCTAATTTCTTCCAAATATGTTTATTTTCTTCAAATTCTTTCTACTTTCTTTACAAATCACTCTAAAAAAATATATTATTATTATTATTAATACAACTTTTTTTTAATTATAATTTTTATATTCATAACTATAGTTTATAAATTATTTCATTTTTTCATCTCACTATTTTTATGATTCACATTCATTATTATTTTTTCTTCAACTTTTTAATATGAATAATACTGTTTTTCTGTATATTAATCACATGAAAAATTAGGAAACTGTTTAAAAAATTATGGATAAATAGTTATATAGAATATTTTTTTAATCTAAATTTATATAAGGTAAAAATCAATATTTTAATCTAAAATATAAAGTATGGAATGTGGTAGGGAGTACTACATTATGAAAACCAAGAGAAAACTACATTTTGAAAAAGCAAAAATAACCCAAGAAGTGTAATATTTATGCTAATTTTATATTCTAATTATTTTTTAAACTAGCTTTTTATATATGAAAAATAATACTCGTAATATTTTTTTATCTTAAAGAAAATCATTAAGATAACGTAATAACACCACCACCACTACCACCACCACCACCAACAACAACAACAGCAACAACAACAAAAAAAAATAATAGTAATAATAATAATAATAATAATAATAATAATTTATAACAACAAGAATCAGAATGAGAATAATATAAAACCACACATAAAAAAATTTTTAAAACTTTTTTTAAATTTTTCAATTTTTTCTAGTTTTTTCAGTTTCTTTTAATTTTTTTCGGTTTTTCCAATTTCTTCCAATTTCTTCCAGTTCCTTCCAGTTTCTGCCAACATCAAGCTCTTTTTTTCCAGTTCTAAAGAACAGGCCCTTAGGCGGGTATACCACATCCTACCAGATTGTTTCAAACCATAAAGAGAGCGTTTTAGTCTGATCGCAAACGCACTCCGTTGTTTACAGTCACTTGATTTGGGTAAGGGAACACCGTCTGGTACTTTCATGTATATCTCAGAATCAAGATCCCCATAGAGATATGCAGTAACCACATCCATAAGCTACATTTCCAATTCCTCGGAAACTACTAAGCTCACCAAGTACCTAAATGTTATAACATCCATGACAGGGGAGTATGTCTCATCATAATAAATTCCAGGGCGTTGTGAGAAACCTTGCGCCACTAGGCGAGCCTTATATCTTAAGACTTCATTCTTCTCGTTACGTTTCCTGAAAAATACCCATTTATGTCCTACAGGCTTTACACTTGGAGGGGTTAGCACTATTGGACCAAATACTTGTCTTTTTGCCAAGGAATCGAGCTCTACCTGGATTGCTTCTTTCCATTTTGGCCAATCCGCTCTTTGTTGACATTCTGCAATAGAGCGTGGTTCGATATCGTCATGCTCTATTATCTCTAGAGCAACACTGTAAGCAAATACATCATCGATATGTGTTGAAAATATTTCTAGTAATATATGTGCACTCTCATAATCCATTGAAATTTCTTTGTTCTCTTGAATCATATCAAACATCGGAGCGTCTTCCAGTAATGATTCATGGACATAACTATAATCAGAGATAATCTCATGGGATGGATGTTCAACATCAATGTGTAACGGATTAGTTTGTGCCGCACTCGTCCTTTTCTTCCTTGGATGAGTGTCAATCGAACCAAGTGGCCTTCCTCTCTTCCTTTGAGGAGCCACAGCCTCATCCACACTTCCACTCGGTGTGGATGTAATGCCTGTCATTACGGCATTTTTCTTTTTAGTTGAGACTTCTAACCTTGCAGGTGCATTTGCAACAGGTATGTGTGATCTTGTCACTTTAGCAATATCAGTAAATGAATCGAGCATCGAATTTGCCACGTTTTGAAGATCAATTATTCTTTTCACTTTGCTTTCACAATGTGAAGTACAGGGATCGAAATGAGACAGTGTGGGGACACACTAAGATATTTCCTGTCGTTCGCTTAGAGAGTTTTTCTTATCTCCCCCTAACAACGAGAAATTTGTCTCATCAAAGTGACAATCTGCAAATCTAGGAATAAAAAGATCACCTGTCAAAGATTCTATATAGCGAATAATGGTTGGTGATTCATATCCAACATAAATACTTAATCGTCTTTGAGGGCCCATTTTAGTGCGCTGTGGGGGCGCAATCGGCACATACGCTGCACAACCAAATATTCGTAAGTGTGAAATGTCAGGCTCATAACCAGTCACCAACTGGTATGCAGAGAATGGTTGTGAAGCAATGGGTCTCAAGCGAATAAGTAAAGCTGCATGCAATATGGCATGACCCCATGTAGATGCGGGCAAATTAGAACGCATAATCAATGCCCGAGCTACCATTTGTAGTCTTTTAATGGTTGCTTCTGCAAGGCCATTTTGCGTATGTACATGGGGAACAGAATGCTCTACATCGATCCCAATGGCCATGCAATAATCATCAAAGTTTTTATATGTAAACTCTGCAGCGTTGTCAAGTCTTATAGACTTGATCGGGTGGTTAGGGCAGTGAGCCCTTAAACGAATTATTTGTGCCAAGAGTTTTGCAAATGCAGCATTTCTTGTTGATAATAATGTAACGTGCGACCAACGTGTCGAGGCATCAACAAGTACCATAAAGTACCGAAATGGTCCGCTTTCTTGTTGTATCGGCCCACATATATCTCCTTGTATCCGTCGTAGAAATGATATATTTTCTTTTGAATCTTTAGCATAGGATGGTCGTGATCCTGATTTTGCTAATGAGCAGGCTTTACAAAAGGATTTGTGGGCATGTGACATTGTCAAAAAATTATTTTGAGACGAGGATGATGCTTCAATTTCTTTAGAAGGCATTTGTCGGAGTTGGGCAAGATTGGGCAGACCGCTTTCCAAGCTATCGGGTTTTTGTGTCGCTTTGTCCTTGCCTCGAAAGAAAGGATGACCGTGAGAGTTTTTTAGGATACGAATCATCATGTCACGACCAGGATGCCCTAGTCGATCATGCTGTTGGACATGAGTTCAAACCCCTTTATTATTTTTTCTGGAATATTTTCTTGTTTTGATAAATGACAAACAGGATGATGAAATTCAAACGTTGATCGAAAATTTACTTTTCGTACCGAGAAAAGAAAAGAGGCGTATCAAGAAAGTTACGGGATAAAAATCAACGCTCCCCCCACGCAGTTTTTTGAAGTGATGTGAAGACTCCGAAGACTTTTTAATTTTTATTGAGTCTAGGATTCTTGTAAGGATGACAATATCTTTTGCACAAAACAATTTAATTTCTGAGGGATAAAAATTATTTTTGAGTCAGTTGAAAAATCATTTTTTCTCTGTCTAAAATATTTTAGTGAGTCAGTTTCAAAATAAGTGTGTCAAAATTTCTTTAAAACATTTTTTTTTAAAGTTACACAATTTTCTTTGGTGAGAAAAATATACTTTAAATATTTTTT